ACCTCTTCAAAAAATTTAAAAGAAAAAAAATCATTATATATTGCCACTCAAAATCAAAACTGGATCAAGGATGTTAACTTGCAGCACTGTGGTTTCACTGCGCAACATTTTATTGAGTAGTACGTGATAACATGGCGTATGGTACATGGTGTAAATTTATGTCCACATGTTCCTGATGAGATCTCTTGGAAGCTCTCCGCTGATGGTAAATATTTTGCAAACTCAGCTTAGAGAGCTCAATTCTTAGGGTCAACAACAACCAACTTTAGCACACTTATTTGGAAAGTTTCGGCACCATCTAAATGCAATTTTTTGGATGGCTCACTATCCAAAATAGATTTTGGACGTGGGAGAGGCCCAAGTTGTTTGCCGTACGTGATAACATGGCGTATGGTACATGGTGTAAATTTGTGTCCACATGTTCCTGATGAGATCTCTTGGAAGCTCTCCGCTGATGGTAAATATTCTGCAAACTCAGCTTAGAGAGCTCAATTCTTAGGGGGTCAACAACAACCAACTTTAGCACACTTATTTGGAAAGTTTCGGCACCACCTAAATGCAATTTTTTGGATGGCTCACTATCCTTTTGGACATCGGAGAGGCCCAAGTTGTCCCCCCCCCCCCCAACCCTGTCGTAGAGAGCTAGAAATTGTCCTTCACCTCCTCGCTCATTCAGATACTCCTTTGGTAAGAACTTGCCGCTTTGATAGGACTCAGCGGCCTCTTTTTGCCTTCCTGGTCACAAGCTGAATCTCTTCAACAATGGTGGACCTCCCTCTCAACCATACCTTGCAACTCCAGGAAACAAATGTGTTTTCTGATCATCTTTGTTTCAAAATTTGAAACGAAAGAAATGCTCAAATTTTCAATCACAAAGAGTCAGATTATAATTGGCTACTACAAAAAATAAAAGATGAAAGCGGAGTGTGGATCATGGCAAGAGCAAAACATCTGCCAATTTTGACATAAACTGACATTGAGAGTTTTTTTAGACTCTTTGCATAGTTCTTTGTACAGTCTTTTTTTTGGTCTATCTTGGCTCACCTTGCTTTTTTTTTAATATAACATGTAGTCCTCTTGTCTCATTCATTTAGAAAAAAATCATTTGCTTTAAAAAAAGATATATAGAATAAAAACTAAGATATGTACAACAAAAAACCTAAGTATCTGGATTCTGGAGTAGAATAAAGTCGAGAAAGTATTATATAAAACAAAGAGAAAAGGAGGGAGAACAAAAACACTGGAACATATTTAATTTAGAATAGTAATTTGATCCAATAGAAAATGTATAGGTGGGGCTGAGATACACGACAAACCTAGCCAACGCTACAAATAAATTGCACTGCCTGTATCATATATAAACCCTATAACAATAAAAATCAGAGTATAAACGAGAACTGAATCGTATTGATTTTTTTTTGTTTCAGAATAACTTTTTTTTTTGAGCAAATGTTTCAGAATAACTTAATGGTAATGGTATGGATGAAAATGTATTGACGTGCCTTGTTACACATTGGCCTATACTGAATAGAGCGGGCTGGCCAACGAGTGGGCTGTGCAAGCAATGGGCCGGGTCAACCCAACCTAAGCACGAAGTCAATAAGAAGTATAAAGATCATCTATTCAACTACATAAGAAGATTACGGACTAATATGAACCAGAAGTCAACCACTACCCGACAATCCTGGCTGAGCCATCACTGTTAGATATGCTAGAACCGGCAGAGATCTTGCTTCAATGTTGGGCCTTAAGAATTCATCCAATGATTACGGAGCTAAGGGCGAGTGCCTGAACGTCCGGCCACAGGAGGCGTTCGGACGATGCTCCCGTTTGAACGCATCTATCGCGCCCTGGAAGCGCGTCTGACGCGCCCGCGTAACAGGAGGACCGTTACCTCACCGCGACATAACAGGCAAGAGCGCGCCCGCCGTGCCCGCCTCACCCCGTCTTCGGATGCGCACCGTGGAGACGTCTACCGGCCTTAGGTGCCCGCACAGTGACCCACGGCAGCACCTCAACAGCAGCAACATGCGGCTGCGGCAGGCCGCTGTCCGCTAGCTAGTGGGGCCATTACAGCATGTGCTTCTCCAGATCTACTTTTAAAACATTCAGTTGAAACACTTGCAACATATGGCTGAAAACTGATGAAACACTTGAAACATGCTTGTATAGCGATAGCAACATATGCAACATCGAGATCTACTTTTGCAACATCTAGTTGAAACATTTGCAACATACACATACATATGAAACATTGAAATATGCGCTTGAAACATGCATGTTATGCGACATCCAAATATATTTCTACAACATTCAGATGAAACACTTGAAACATACGTCTGAACCACTGAAACACACGAAACATATGTTTGCAACATGCGTATATTGTCATTGCAACATATGCAACATGCCAGATCTACTTTTGCAACATCCAGACTAAACACTTGAAACATAAGTCTAAAACGGCTGAAACACTTGAAACACAGCGTCGCCGGCAGCCACGGCCTACCCCGTGGTGAACTCCGGTAACCAGCAAGCTCGGGTCAGGGGGACGTCGAGAGCAACGTCCCTGTGTAGACCCGGGCGTGGCGCTCAGGCCTCCCCTTTCTGCCGATGGGCGAGGTGGATGGGGTGAAGGTACAGGCGTAGGCCTCCCTTGCCTCCACTTCTAAGACGAGCAAGGTGGATGGCGGCACAGCGCGGGATGGTGGCGCGGTGCGACGCGGGATGGTGGCACGGGAGCGAACGACGGTGGATAGAGATGGGGAGAAAAGGAGCAGAGGATAGATGAAGACTTACAAAGCGCGTGCGGGAAGGCCGAGAGGAAGGGAGAGCAGGGGTGATGGGGCCTAAATTGCATTCATAATGTTCTCGAGCGGACGGAAAGGCCCACCAACCTACCGCGTTGTTCGGTGGGCGAACCGATATATTTCGTGCGGTCCACGGTTAGACAAAAACATCCGTCCGTCCGGATGTCGGGTAGGCGGTACCGAAAAACCATTTGTAGAGGCAATATGTCTATAGAAACCTAGCCACCTCTAGAGACGATTTCTAGATGCAGGCCAAACCCAGTCGCCTCTAAAAACCGTTTTACATATTTTGTAAATCGGGCAAAAAAAAAAGTAGCAAAACTTTTTTAACTGGACTGAAGCCCACCAACCAAGCTACAAGTCACGTGTTGCTTCCTCACCACAGTGCTGCAAAGTCACTTGTGACTAAGTGGATGACACATTCCTTTTGTATTCACTTTAGTGATATTGCAATATATATTTTAGACTCTAAATGAATTCACATGAAAAAGTGTTTGAACTGAAAAGTTTTATCTCTTCAAATACACAACTTGGGTTTAGATCATTTCTCCGCCCAAAGTCATTTTATTTTATTTTAAAAAATGTAAATTTCAAAATCATTAATCTTAAAATAGAATGTATAGGCACTACATTATTTCAAATGAAAAAGTTGTCAACAATAAATTTGCATATCTCTTCGATGACATCCGATATACTTTACAAAAAATAAAAAAATAAAAATCTAAAATAGAATTTATGGGCACTAAATGACTTCAAATGAAAAGACAGTCAACTGCAAAGTTGCAGATACTTTCAATTACTATAAATTTGGTTTAGGTCATTTGTCTATCTAAGGCCATTTTAGAAAAAATAGAATGTCGAATTTCAAACTATAAAACTTAAAACAAAATTTCGAGGCTTAAGTGATTTGAAATGGAAAAGTCATCAACTACAAATTTATAAATATCTTTTAAGTACTACAATTTCTATATAAAGTTTGTCTTTATCTGACATGATTTGAAAAGTTATAATTTTTTTACTATGCTACATCTAAGCGATCCAATTTGTCAACCACCTCTAATTTTAGAGTTGTTCAACTTGTGAGCAACCTCTAAAAATAGAGGACATTTCTATAAGTCTTTTACCTGTATGTCATTATAAAAGATAGTCCTGACCTATAAGGCACTAAAAAGTTTCAACGCACTCAGGTGACACTGCGCTAAGCTTTTTTGCCTTGTACGCCATTCCGTCCACTTTCACTAGTAACGGTGGCTAACGGCGCTGAGAAAAGACTTAAATACCCTCAGCCTAGAGAAGCAAGATAAATGCCCCGTTTGGCAGGGCTTCTCTAGTGGCTTCAGGAGCCGCTTGGAGCCGTTTTCTACCAAACGGGGTAAAATAAAATGGCTCCATCGATGAAGCCCCTAAAAACGTGCTCTCACAGAGCTTTGGGGTGGGAAGGAGCAAAAAATAGTGGTTTCTCCCGGCTCCTCCTCCAGACCCCTAAAAACATGCTCTCACAGGGAAGTCATTTTGGCAAATGGTTTACCAAAACCGCTTCAGCTCCACTGGTGAAACTGTTCGTGGAGCTTAAAAAAAAATAACTTCACTAGTGAAGCGAAGCTCTGCCAAACAGGGCCAAAGTTTCTGTTTTCTCATGTGCCACTCCCTGACAGAGTGTTTTGGCACCAAATTGATTGCCGTCAACCATTTTTGACCGCACTAATTTAATTAGTATTTAAATTATTTGCAATATTTTTTAGTTTTGAATATCACAAATTTGAAAATCATTGCAAACGAGGGGTCTGATGCACCGGCAAGGACTCGAGCATCGGGCGAGCACTCGCTGATGTCCACCATGGGCGCGCGTATGATGGACACGCTCGCGGATGAGACATGGCACGTCAATTATCCAGCTTTGACGCCGGCGAGCGTGCCGCAGGCGGATGCCGGCGGGATCCGAGGACGGCGTGTGCCTCTCCTCCTCTCAAGCATCACGCATGCAACTGAGTTCCACTACTTAACTTAGAGCTATATGTGTACACACCATGCACGACACGTCTACAGCACCCCCAGGCTGGCGAGCTCCTCGGTGAACACCTTGCTGAACTCCGGCATGCTCTCTGGTTCCAACGACAGCACGAGCGCGTGGGCCCGCAGGTCAGCTGTCATCGGTGAAGCTAGTGCCGCCGCCACCGCCACCGCTACGGGCTACTGCGTGGCACCCCAGAGCACCTCGGCGAGCACGGTGGCCTCCTCCGCCGGCGACATGGCCGCCTCACGCATCCACCGCCGCAGGATCTCCAGCTTCGTCTCGAGCTTCTCCCGCGGGCTCAGCCCCACGCCCACCTCCACCTGCACCGCGAATCCGCGCCACCGCGCTCACGAACGGCCGCTCTTCGTGTCCGTGTCCGCGGCGCCGTCGCCCTCGCGACGCCGCCACAGCCACACCAGGGGAAGGCAGGCCAGGTCGCCAGGAGGAGGGAGCCGCCGGCTTAGGCGTCGTCGGGCTTCGCCTTTGGGCAGCCGTCCTCGTCCTCGTCCATGTCCGCGAGCGAGCCGCCGAGGTCGGAGCGCTGAACGGCGTCTTCGATCTCCTTCGTGCTGCTGAACACCCGCCATGGCGACCGCGCAAGCACCTTCATGGCTGCCCGCGATGCCATAGGTGTGAGTGTGACGCCCCTCTACATCGGATGGGGAATCGATGGTACTGTCGTCTCTGTCTGTAACAAACGAACTATGCACATCTGTGATCAGTCTCAGAAAGTGCAGCTACCAATGTACTGTGTAACTGAAACTGAACAATACATAATATGGCATGGCTGGTAGGGTTGGTGTGGATTTAATTTCGTCAGAGATGAAGGCCCTGAATGACGAGTGCGAGCACTTTGAGATCTTCCCTCCGGACCATCTCTACTCCAGCAAGACCGGCGGATTCAGCAGGTGGTATAACCCTCCTTGGTACGACGAGGCCGTCATTCCCTCGGTTCCCTACGACCCAATGGGGAAGGCATTTGAAAAGGTGAAAAGGAACTTTCAGTCATTCAGTGTGTGCTTGGACCAAGAAACTGAACTGACAGCTATCAGATTTTGCTGAGAATGTTACATGCTACTATTTGCCGGTTCAGACGGCGTAAAAAAATAGACACGAAACAGAATCTTCACTATATACACGACGACAAATTACATAATTTTGTCCGGTAGGTTACCTGAGATGAACAAAGCAAGGGAATCCTTTAATTTTCACCAACCAATAATCAAATTAACAAAACTAAGCAGTCAAGTCGTTTTGTTCCCAGAAAATTTATAAGCACGGACAAATGAACTGAATGAGAAGTCATCATCAGAAAACCAAAAAGGTGTTTGTTTTGTTTCAACTGAATTCAGGCTGTGGTAAAGCGGCTCATGACAGACGTCCTGCTCGGTGGCAGCCGTCGCCGTGCGCCACCTCGCCGGGACAGAGGCCGCCAAGCACTGGTGTCATGCACGCACTTGCGAGGAGCGCGCGCGCGGCGTCCGCCTGCCGCCGCGCAGCGCGGCCACGAGGCGCGTGATGGCCTCACGGTCAACACACGCCTGGATCTCGCCGGCGACGGCGACGGCCACGCGCGCGTCCGCCCTCCACGCGCCGCACCGGCGGCACCGCGTGCGCAGGGACAGGGAACCGGAGCATAGGTCGAGGGAGCACGAAGGGCTCTGAGCCGGCACAGGAGGCGGCGCACGGCGACGAGGTCGGGGCCGCCGGCGAGGAGGTCGTCGGCACCGGCCTCGAGTGCAAGGGCGCCTGGCCCACGAACCTCCTCGGCCTCCACCCTCAGCGCTGCGTCCCGCAGCTCTCGCAGCACATGGAGACAATAGGGTTAGGGAGGGGGCATTTTGGACATTCTGATTGACTAGACCCACATGTTAGGGCTTTCAAACCGTGAAAGCCAAACAGAACACGAGGTATGTTCGAACTTTTTAATGGCCTGTAGGTTAGGACCATCTTTTATAATGGCATATAGGTAAAAGACTCCAAGACCCGGATCGAAAGCATAAGCCCCTTCAAAATTTGGTTTCTAGAAGATGGCAAGCTCAAAAACTATTTTTAAAGACAAATTTCAATAGAGCCACCTCTACCAAAAAGAGAGAGACCTCCAAAATGGTTTCTGTAGTGGAAGACACATCTTCCTACCGGATGGATTCAAAACCTGACAATGATATATCACTACTAGTTAGAGTCACTAACCCGACAGTGATAAGAGGGATATCACCACCGGTTAAGACCATGATCCGGCAATGATATTCTCTAGCTTCTCGGGCTACCTCCCTCTCTCTTGCTTGACAAGCAAAATCTGGAACAAAATAGTGTGAAGTAGATAAAATTTTAAGGGGTCTACCAGGGCACACCGATAATGGATTATCCATGAAGAGGTAAAAAGAAATGTTACCTGCAGTAATACATAACATTGAACCGCTGAAGAACAGCTTTTGCGTCATACAGTCCTAGCAATGTTACCTGCGCTTCCCATTCCACTGGCATAGCTTTTACAGCCCTAGCAATGTTACATACAATACACAACCAAAAAACACGTGACTTGCACGGCCTTTGTCATACGGTCCTACCAATATTACATGCCCTCTCCATCCCACAGGCATAGTTTACTACAGTCCTAGCAACGTTACCTATATTACATGGCCAAGGGCACTTGACTTACAGTTATCTCACCAACACCAAGTGGCGTACCGGATGGAACACATAGACAGACAGCTTAAGAGAATCATCAGAAATCTTAAAGTGGAAGGCGCATATGTCACCAACTTTAATATCCTTATCTGCAACCACATTTTCCCAGCCTGATGTGAGACTCGCACGGCCATCTGGGTTAAGTTTCACTCTAACAGTACCACGATATTCCCCATCGAGTTCAAAATGAGTATAGCCCGCCCCATTGTGCAGGCAAGAAAGCAAGGGCTTAGAGATGTACTTTGCAGAGAGCCGCTGCAACAGAAAAATGCAAACAATTAACTGTAAATCATAGTTTTCATAGCATAGGAAGCAAATCATCTGACAAATCCAAATAAGAAGGATTGGAGCTAACCATCTTCCCCCTACTCTTCAAGTTCGATTTATTCATTTGATATATATAGAATGGGATCTCTGGCGGTACACAACCACAGAGCTCTCTCAGGTATTTCTTCATTCCAGAAGAGAGCATTAGTTTATTACCACGGAAAAACCATTCATACAACCCCGTAAGTTGGCTCGGTTCACTCCCTGTCACATACAAAAATGTAAAATACAACAATTCTGAAACGCATGCACCATATAATCAACCAATATTCTGATATTGTATTAGGTAATGCATCACATACAGCATACTTAGGTTATTGTTATACAAATAGAGCAGAAAAAAACCTGCTACAAATGTACTACAGAACCTGTCAATATATATGGAACGACACTACTATTGAAATTGCAAACAGTCAAAAAAAATATTGAAACTGCCTGCTGAACACATCACTTAAAGCATAAAATATTTGATTCAATATTTTCATTACTCAAGAATCTCCTAGTATTATCTTTGTGTAAGATATAAATAGTTAATACCAATGTCAAAACCTTTCCTATACTTGATAAAGATATGAACCTGTACCTGGTTCGCCACTGCCCAAGGCATTTGATTTCAGAGAAGGCTTCTCATCATCATCACACCAAATGCATGCATCCTCATCATCACAAATTTCAAGGACAACAGGCTGTTTCTTTGGGCCACCTGATATTACATGACATTGAAGTTTTGAACATCCAAACCAGATGTGTAGATAATAATTAGTACAAGTAATAAAACCACTTACTAGCCTGTGCCTTCAAGTCTTCAACTGTCTTCAGCCAATTTTCTGTTTTGTTTAGATTGGGCTTTGCTTCACTGTCCACTGCAAGAGTATTTACTGCATATGGTATTTTTGTGTTTGAAGCAGAGCAATCTCCACCTAACTGTCAAATATGAAAAAAGACATTCAGATTACTAGAAGGACCGAACACAGAAAAGAACACCACATATGAAACTGAGTAAACTCCACAAACCTACCAATATTTTGGGCTAATTGTCACAAAAAAGTTACGACATTTTGTGCCCATTTCACAAACCCACCACAATTTGGGTTCTCATAAAACTATAACTTTGTGTTTATTATACTTTCACATGCAGATGGGCCCACATGTCAACAATATGTTCATAACCAGTTGGGCCCACATGAGAATATTTGATGTACCATTGACATGTGGGCCTAATCATTAATTAGTGGGGAAATGATTACAAAGTTATTTTGTGAGAAGAAAAACTAAAATATTGATAGGTTTGCGAAATGAGCACAAAATGTGGTAGGTTTGTGATTATTAGCCCAAAATATTGTTAGGTTTGTCAATTTACTACTCCCTCTGTTTTAATAAATTGTATAAGACGTTTTGGTTTTCTAGATATATTATTTTTATTATGTATCTAGACAAAGTGTACATTAAGTGTAGCGCAAAATCTATGCACCTAAAAAAACCAAAATGTCTTATAATTTGGAATGGAGGGAGTATATCGATTTAGTGTTATTCAGGTCATAGTCATTGGTGATTCATCACTCAATTAACGTTTTTGTTGAAGGGTGTTATGTCTATTTATCTGATGGCTAGAAACTAGATAACACAACTCAGCCTTCACAAGTCAACATAACAGCATCTTCAGAACAAAATAATTCGTCAGTCATTCACATGAAGGTAAACTGCTGAATGAATACTTATAACATTTCAAAACCATCATGCTTCTGCAGCCAGCACATAGGCAGAGCATAAGGTCCCATACAGAACTCATGTCTCAGCTGTAATATCTGGAGAAGACATGTGGACATGCTTGTGTTGGAATGATCTATATTGAATTTGAAAATATACACCAATATGGCAGGTACGAACAACAATGTGCCCTACATATGCATAGGATGAAAGAAAAACGACTCATTTTAAATTGGCCCCTGGCTATTAACAAAATTACTATAATTGGAACTTCTACTCTCTTCCTTTTTTTTCCGCCGAACACAGGGCAGGTTTTGGACGGCGGATCAGCTTGCAAGGCGTGGTCTCCCCCATCCTCCAAACTTCCCACATTGTGATCAAGCTGCTAAAAGCATTAACCACCTGCTGCTGTCTTGTGTCTTTGGTTCTCTTCTGCGAAATGTTGGGTTGCAGCATCTCTGTCCGCAGCAAAATGAGTACTTTGATGGCCGGTGGGATAGGATTTCCAAGGAGGTTGTTGATGTTTTGCGGAAGGGGCTCAATTCCCTTGTGATCTTGGGCACTTGGACTTTGTGGAATCACCGCAATAAGTGTATCTCTGATGGTGCTTCTCTTAGTGTTGCTCGTGCGTTGTCATGTGGGGGAGACAGTACTCCCACAGATCATGGGATGGGAAGGCCGTAGGCGCACCATAGGCACGGTCACCACGCCCAGGCGGGCCTGGTTTATGTCAGTTAGGAAGGCACATGTTATGCCTAAGATTTAGGGGGATTTGTTGGTTGCCCGAGAGGCTATGTAATCTGCCTTCGGGGCTGAGAATCAATGAAGCAAAGAATTAATCTCTATTCTATCTTCTCCTATTTTCCAACATAGGGCGCAGAGGGGGAAAACCTCACCCCTCTACCAATCACGACTACAGGCTACATAGTCGGGGTCAAGGCCGCCTGTCCGTGACATCATGGTATCAGTGCGCCTTTCTCCATCGACGAGGAGGCGTTCCAAGTGGATTTCTTTGCCCTCCCTCTAGCTGGCTACGACACGGTGCTAGGCACGCAGTGGCTCGCGACTCTTGGGCCCATTCTATGGGATTTCAGGGCCCTCACCATGTCGTTCTGGCGCAGCAGTCACCAAGTCTGCTGGCACAGCGTGGTGGGCTCGGCGAGCCCTGGCCTCCGCTCCTGCTCCGGCCCCGACCTCCTGGAAGCCCTCCTCGCCGATTTCACCGACCTGTGTGTTGAGCCGCACGGGCTATCGCCACCTAGATACCGCGACCACAGCATCACTCTTCTGCTGGGTCGGCCCTGGTGGTCGTTCGTCCTTATCGCTACCCGGCCACGCACAAGGAGCTGGAACGCCAATGCGCATCCATGCTGGACCAGGGCATGATTCGGCGCAGCTCATCCGCCTTGTCTTCACCGGTTCTGTTGGTGAAGAATGCTGACGGCTTGTGGCGTTTTTGCGTCGACTACAGAGCCCTCAATGCCCTCATGGTCAAGGATGCTTTCCCTATTCCGGTGGTCGATGAACTCCTCGGTGAGCTGCATAGTGCCCGGTTGTTCACCAAGCTCGACCTCCGCTCCGACTACTATCAAGTCCGCATGCACTTGGACGACGTGGCCAAGACGGCCTTTCAGACACACGATGGCCTCTACGAGTTCCTGGTCATGCCATTTGGGTTGTGCAACGCCCTGACAACATTTCAGGCGCTAATGGACGATGTGCTACGCCCTTCCTCCGCCGGTTCGTGCTCATTTTTTCGTTGACATCTTGATTTTCAGCAACTCATGGACTGATCACCTCCGCCACTTGCACGCAGAGCCCACCATCCTCCAGCAGCACAAGCTCTTCGTCAAGCGGTCCAAGTATGCATGTGGGACGGCCTTTTGTGATAGCTAGCTGATAGTATCTTTTGTGATAGCTAGCTGATAGTATCTTTTGTGATAGCTAGCTGATGGTGTCTTTTGTGATATTTTGTAAATGCATCATCCTAACACATGGCTTTGTTATCCTTTACTTATAGCACATGGGTGTAGCAAAGGCAAAGAGAGTTTATCTCACATGGACAGATGAGATAGACATTGCATTGTTGGCTGTACTTGTTGAGCATTACAACAATGGTGACCGCTCCCAAAATGGATGGAAGCCACATGTCTACAATGCTGCTATCAATAATGTACGCAGGCAATGCAATGTGAACATCACAAAAGAAAACATATCATCTAGGTGCAAAACTTTTGACAAGCACTATGAGGTCATTAGTAAGATACTGTCACATAGTGGTTTTGGTTGGGATTGAGAAAATAATAAGCTATCAATTGATAGTGAGGATGTCTGGTCTAGATATGTGGCGGTAAGTACATGGATATTTGTTTTCTCACTATTTTAATTTTATAATAAGACAAGTCACTTGTACTGCGTCTATGTTTTGTGTAGAATAACAAGGATGTAGATTGTTACAAGAACAAGGTGGTGAAGAATTGGGATGCAATCAGCACTATTTATTCTGCAGATCATGCCAATGGTGATGGTGCCAAGACAGTTACCGAGAGTGCACAAGATTCACCTGAAGAATGTAATCAAGCATCCCCAGATTTACCAAAAAAAAAGATGTGAACTGGTGAAGCAATTCTTTGCATGCTTGGAGATATGAAGACTTCATTTTGAGATGCTCTAAAATCCACCGAGCCATTACCATTGCCTCAGGTCACTCCTGCTGCTGAAATACTTGCTGCACTTGAACAAATACTAGATTTAGCAAGATGTGACCTTTTGTGGGCTTATGGGAAGTTGATCCTTAATGAACGTTAATTCCGAGCGCTTATGGAACTGCCTATGGACTTCGAAAGAATGGCTCCTTACGTTGAATTAGAGCAATGGTGGTTGGTTGAGGGATGTAATGTACGCTTGCTGTTATGTAATATGGAACTGCCTATGTACGCTTGCTGTTATGACCCCTTTTAAATTAGGTGTTGTGAAATATCGTGGTACTTGTAAGAGAGTTGGAATATTGATCATCAAGTATTGACTCTATAATAGATGCTTGTGAGCAACATTTATGTGCTGCTGTCATCGATTATTTTTCATGTTTTAATGATATTATTTCAGTTTCTACTATTTTTTCTGAATATTTTCATGTTTTTTTGTGTAAAGAGATAATATAATCATCCAATAAATGTGCAAGTTGTGAAATACATATTACAATGCATTTACATCATTGTAGACAACCCAGACTACAATTCAACGTTTGTATATCCAAACATGAATTGGAATTGGTTGATTCCAGCAATCAACTACTTGCACATCCCAACAATGGCATTGGTATTTGAGGTCATTTCCAATTCCTCTCAGCTTTGGTATTCTAGGCCAATTCAATTCCTCAGCCTGAATATCTACATCCAAACAGAGCCTAATGGTATTTATCTGATAATATTAACATTTGTATTTTAGTGTATATATTTGGTCAAATTTTCAATAGTTTGACTTAGGATGAAACTAACATCAAGTTTTTTGAGATAGAGGTAGTATGAAGAACTTCTTTAGTATTATTTAAGAGCAACTCCAGCGTGAGACCTTAAGGCTCCATTTTATATTTGAGGGCTTTTCTATTTTTGAGGATATGTTTTCTTTGCATATACTACGGCAGGAGTCCTCAAATCCATCGACATTGTCATACGAAACACATCCATTATTCGACCATATCTACTGTCATTCCAATCAACTAGTTCAAGAGACAGGGACGGGACGTCCCATGTGGGATATCCAACTTTATGCTGGTGTTTGGTTTCACGATAGGTACAACATGACCATCCTACCATAGAATATGTGTCCCTCTTTTTTTTCACGAACAGAGTCATCCCACATGGGACGAACACTTCTTCAGCGTGGGAAGGTGGACGTTATCGGCCTAGGGCGGCACGCAGGGGAGGATGCGGTGCTTCAGCTCGAGGGCGATGAGCAGGCAGTGCTCCGGTGTGGGGGCGAGGTATGGCTCTCCATCGTGGGGGCAAGGCGATGCTTAGTGCGGGGTGGCTGCAAGAGAGGCCCGGCTCTATGGGCCGTGGCGGCACTCCGAGTAGGCGAGGAGGCACTCTAGGCTAGGTGAAGATTTCATGGGTGAGGAAGAGAGTAGGGAGCTCCCTACGTACCCCTGGGAGATGTGGCTGTGGGAGGAGATTTGGTGGCCTCCATAAAGTAGAGATTTGAGTTGGGACCCTATTAGATTAAGTTTTTTCTCCCTGCTACTAAAAAGTGGAGTAGGGGGGCTGTTTAGGGTCCTTGTTGGAGATGCTCTAAGGAGATTAACTCTACTTTTACAAAACAATATCTATTTACAGAATAGCTGGGGCTGCCAGTTTGAGCAAAGTGCAAGGAGATAACAAGCCAAATACCCTACTACAACGAAGCTAAATTTCAAAGATGTCAGATGATGACATTTCTGTAGTCGGGTGGAAGGTGTGGAGCCAATTGATCATCTTGCATTTGAGTTCGTCCACCCGTGGCTTGT